TTTTGTGTAACAAAGGGCAGGGTCTAGCTCCCTGTGTGGACAGAAACATAAGGATTTGGTATTCTTGAGTATCTTTAAAGGAGAAATTCACCTTTGGAACTCGTTACACCCGTTTTTAGGGTGGCACATGTAAAATTTGAAAACCGCGAGGCTGTGCGGAGCTCCGCCCAATCGGCTGCTTCATTCACAAACTTCCATGAATGAATGAACTGCAAGTCCCGGCAGCCTTAGCGGCTGTGGACGTGTCGTTTTCAGTGAACTACCACGGCACGGTGGAGCACCGTGGTAGTTCATTGAAGCTTCCTGTCAGAATATCTGCTTGCTCGTATAACAACCAGATATACCGACAGGTCTGCAGGAGACCTGCATGGCATCAGCGATCTACTGATCGCCGGTTCAATGCTTTACAAGCTCCTTTGGATAAAAATAATGCTAATTTTATTTTTTACCTGAAACAAATGTGCATTTTATTATTTTTGTCCAAAAGGTGAACTTATATTTAAAGGTGTAGGCTCCACTAAATAGTCAGTTAACCTAAACAAAGTATGTAGGATGGATATTCGTCATTGAGCACCATGTGTTAAAGTAAACCCTTTTAGAGAAAAAAATGTAAAATGCATTCTGAAGTACTTTTGTTTCTTAATTTCAGAGTACAATTAGGAATTGCGGGATAGGGATAGTCAGCCTTTAAGGTACCATATTTTGGAACTTTGGGAGTGTTTGTAATATTAATGGTGTTTGCATATAATTTAGGCTCCTTTTGACAAAAGGATTATACAAACAAAGAGCAAAGAATAATATAAAAGATCTCCTTTATAGAGAGATTCCGCAAGTAAAACCAGACAGAATATTTACTCCTTTCCCAATATATCAGAAAAATTGAAAAATGTCTGTGGGTAGAGTTCATCTTTAAAGCCAAAGTGCAGCCAAAAAAACCCCCCACAAATATTAGCACAAGGGACATAACTTAATAGGATCTGTCCCTTATGCTGATACCCTTTCTGTTCAAATCCTCCTTCTTCTTTGCACCCCTTCGCCATAATCTTCCGGCTTGCCATGAGTTAATCAGAACTGTGTGAGCTGTCACAGAGTGCCTAACTATTCCTGCCCGTTTAGTGTGTGTATGTATGTATATATTTTACTTCATCTCTATGCCCTTGGAGGTCCAGAGCGATGTAACTTCTGGTTCCGGCCATTTCTTCTTTCTTTTTTTTTTTTTTAAAAGCACTAGATCAATGCGCTTTTTTTTTTTTTTTTTTTTTTTTTTTACATTGCAGAGGAGAGATGTGGGGTCTTATTGACCCCATATCTCTCTATAAAGAGAGGAATTCATGCATTTATTGTAATAAGAATAAAAGTGATTAAAAATTTTGCCCACATATGTAAATGGTGTTCAAACCACACACGTGAGTTATCGGCACGAATGTCAGAGCAAGAGCCATAATTCTCGCACTAGACCTTCCTCTGTAACTTTGCACTGCTAACCTGTAGACCTTTTTAAAGCATCACCCATGGAGATTTTTTAAGGACCGCAGTTTCATGCCATTCCACGAGCGTGCGCAATTTTAAAGTGTGACATGTTGGGTATGTATTTACACGCAGTAACATCCTCTTTCATATTTTACAAAAAATTGGGGTGTATATTGGTTTTTTTTTGGGGGGGGGGGTTTTATCAAACTGTATTTTTTTCTAAAAAATATATATTCCTTTTTAAAAACTGCGTATTTCGGTTTTCGGCCAAGTGCCTTTTTGAATTTTTTCGGTTTCGGCACCAATCATCTTCAGGTGTATGCTTGGTGACTTATTAAACCAGATCAGACTGTATTTTTACACATCAGGAATTAAAAGTATGTAATGTATGTTGTGTTTACCACTGGCATACTCGGCTCTTAATCCGCTAAATTGCCTGGGATATAGTAGCACTTTGTTACCAGTTGTATAGTGTACAGAGGAATTCTTGAAAATAATCACGTAGCTTGTGGAAGTATTCTAAATTCATGTTTGCTCAGATAACATTCTACACATTGCACAGCTTATTAAGTGATTATGATTTGCATCAGCAGTTTGTTATAGTTGGTTTTAATTTTCTCTACAGAAATAAATTTTCTCTTATTATCTATAGCTAAGTTAAATTAGTACATGTTTTCATTACTGGTAATATTATAATGCTTTGCACTGAAATGAAGAAAAAAAAAAAACAAACAAAAAACAGGGTAGATAAAGTGGCTTTTGACTGTTTGAATTCTCATCACCTTAGGGGACTTAATAATTTTTTTTTTTTTTTTTTTGTCCAAACAATATTTTCTTGCTTATCTGGGCTTTCTTTCTTGCCTTTTGCATATAATGTATAGCTATATTTCTGATAAACTTGCCCACATTCACCGTGCAGAACCCCATTTTTTTTCACTTTTTAAGATCAACCACTCTATGCCCTATTCTCAAAGTACATTACCTTTTTTTATCTATGTATTAGGGCATTTTTAGTAACATAGAATTAAATGGGGGGTATTTGTAAGCATGCAATGTTTGCATTTTCACACATTTTTGCGTATGGAACTGTTCTCTTCTCATTGCCCAGCCCTGAAACTAAACTGCTGAAGGTTGATAAACCTGCAAAAAACACTTGTAAGATGCCTGGATAAAAAGGATCTACTTCTGGTCTGCTCAGGTGTGAACCTAGACTTAAAGTGGTTGTAAACATCAGACATGAAATCTGAACAAAGCATACCCCTCTATAGTGTGTACTTGTCTAAATCCAGATCACTAAGTGTCATTTCTGTTTGCTGCTTCATTCCTCTGCTGTCAGCATGAATCACTTTTGACACATTTTCCTAAACACCAAGAGAAAAATGATGAGGGGGACCTCCAGAAGACTGACCGCCTGGGCTCTGTTCCTGCGTGCTATGCGGAGGGGGGTGTTTTCCTTTCTTCCAATCAGCTCTCAGAGCTTTCCTCATTGAGCTCTGCTGTGTGTCATTTCATCTCTCCACCCCTTTTTTCTGAACTTTGACAAGGTTTATGGATTGAACACTTTGAGCAGATGTAGAGAAGACCGCAGATATACAGGTACAACTTGTGTAGTAGGGTTTGTTTCATCACTTTGTTTCACCTGAGGATAGTCATTTTTACTGGGTATATGTAAGGGTTTACAACCACTTTAATGCCTGAAATTTACGGGAAAGTATATTACATTCAACCCAACAGTATTTTTAGAACTGAGAGAATAGGGAGAGTTTAATCCCAACTTTTTTAGAACTCAAATAGACCATACACTAGGTAATCTGATTGCTTGAATATGAGTGACAATCTCTCTTTCACAGACTTGCATAACCACTATTTGTGCTTGTCCTATTGCATATCTCCAGTTAGGGAAGGGTTCCATTTTCCAACTGCTGTTGTAGCAATGTAGGGCCCAGTGTCAGAAAGTCGGGGCTCCGTCAGAGATCATGGCTCTTCTAGCAGGACAATGACCCAAGGGCACACGTCGGAAATGGTTTCAGACAAAATGCTGGAGAGAATTGAAGTGGCCAACAAAGAGTTCAGATCTCAATCCCATAGAGCACATGGGGAGAGATCTCAAAACAGCAGTTGGGAAAAGGAACCCTTCCAACCTGAGAGACCTGGAGTAGTTGGCAAAAGAAGAGTGGTCCAAAATTCCAGTAGAGAGATGTAAGAATTTCATTGATGATTGGGAGGCATGGAACCTATGTTTTGACTTTCGAAAATAGAATTTGCATAGGTGTTTAGAGGTGGGGTATTTGAAGTGAAGTTTGTTGTGTCTTATTTCATTTGATCAGTGTTTCATTTTCTCTTACTACCTGTTCTTTTCTTTTCCTTCATGCTTGGATGCATTTACTTATACACTGTCTCACTGTAAGCTAATCAGAATTAGGGTATTGCACTTCCACTGTTGCCATGTTGGTTGCGTTTTAAATGCTGACAGAACTTAATACCCACTTTTTAAGTCTTTTGATTACTAATACCCACCTTTTATTCTAGTAACCATATTGAGAACTGCCAGCACGTATGATCAAAATGTTTTCCTTTCCAATCTGATAACCACCCATACATTTCTTGATCACTGTTGTAACAACAGTTAAACAAGGCATTCCAAGGGAGGAAATTGCTGGGAAATCACTTGTGACTGCCTGCTGAACAGGAAGGGTCCATCACAAAGATGAATGGCCTCACTGATGGGAAAACCTATGCGTTGAATTGCAGCTCACTCATACATTCAGAGCGAGATATTATACTTTTTTCCCGTTTATGCAGAAGATTTCTATTTTTGCTGTTTAACTTTGTTCCATGACGCTCGGTTTTTCCAGATCATTGGTTTGGGTTTTGCAGATCGGATATAAGATGCTTTGCTAAGGCAGTGTGAACAAGACCATCAGAAGCTAGAATGCTTTCAGGATTTTTTAATTAGTTTAATATAATTTTTTTCAAATATTCTTTTGAAAAATACAGTGTACCAGAAGTCCACAACTGTCACACTGTCCATTCAGTTAGCCCATCCCTCAGTCTACTTGCCATTATAGTGCACCCCCAACACCACCCCCCACCCAGTGCCAACCCAATCCTTATGGATATGGGGGAGCATGTATTTTGTAATGGCTGTGACAAAAGAAGGGGCAGCAAGAGCGATGCAAAAAGTGTGCGTAAGGGAGTTGGGGATGTGTTTTTAAAGAGGCTTTGTTACTGTCACAGAGACTCTTTAACCACTAGCCTACAGGGCACTTCTATCCCCTTCCTGCCCAGGTCAATTTCCAGCTTTCAGCGTTGTCACACTTTGAATGACAATTGCACGGTCATGCAACACTGTACCCATATGATATTTTTATCATTTTTTTTTTAGACAGAGCTTTCTTTTGGTGGTATTCAATCACCTCTGGGATTTTTATTTTTTCTTAAACCAAAAACCACAGAAAATTTTGAAAAAAAAAAAGTTTTTTCTTAGTTTTTGTTATACAATTTTGTAAATAAGTGATTTTTCTCCTTCACTGATGTGCGCTAATGAGGTTGCAGTGATGGGCACTGATAGGCTGCACTGATGGGCATTGACAGGCATCACTGATGGGCACTGAAAGGCAGCACTGATACATGGCACTGATACGCACTGATAGGCAACACTGACTGGCACTGATAGGTGGCATTGACTGGCAGCACTGATAGGTGGCACTGATTGGCATTGATAGGTGGCACTGATGGGTGACATTGAAAGGCAGCTCAGATGGGCACTGATATGTGGCATTGATGTGCACTGGTATGCACTGATATGTGGCATTGATGTGGCACTGATGGACACTGACAGGTGGCACTTCTGGGGCCACACTGATCATCAGGGCACACTGATCATCAGTGCCCTGATGATCAGTGTACATGTCCCCTCCGCAGAAAGCCAATTACCGGCTCTCCTCTCCTCTCGAGCTGTCAGCGTGACAGCTCAAGAGGAGAGAAATGCCGATAATCGGCATTTCCGTGTTTTACATGTGATCAGCTGTGATTGGGCACAGCTGATCACATGACCGAGCAGACATCTTCGGCTCTTTCCGTGATCCGCTGTGTCCGAGGGACACAGCGCACCAGCGATCGCCACGCTGCGTGCTCCCTGAGCCGCGCATGCGCAGTGAGAATGGAAGGACGTCATATGACGTCCTATCAGAACGAGAGAACCACCTTGCGCCCGTCATTGTACTATATGGCGGGCGGAAGGTGGTTAAAGGGAATCCTGATAACAATATGGGAGCTGTCTTTGTCTTGATTTTAAAGGTGCAGACTTTGGGGCTGATATCCTTTAAAGAGTAGGTGCACTTTAATACCAAGTGCGATTATTATTTTAGCATCATCCCTTCTCTGAAGGGGTTATCTCGCCCTCCCCATACTTAGCTCAGTGTGATGGGTATGGACACATCTGTTTACATCCAGAGATGCAAGTTGTCAGTGTATAAACCGTGCCTGCTCATGACAGCCCCATAAACTTCGATGGGCCCTGTTCTTGGGTTAAAGGCACTTGGGAGATGGCCCTTTGGGTCAGTGGAGGTTATATAACACAGTAAAGCTTGGTTGTAGCATTTCTGCACAAGCATATGTCAAGTAAAAAAAAAAAAAAAAAAAAAAACTATATTTAGCACGTCCCTGGAATACTTGCACATTTCCCCATGTTTTATCCCTTGCATGGAGCAAGTACAGAAAAATAAATGTTGATGTGCCAGAAATATATGATCCTTCCTTCCTTTTTTGACAGGACACCTCTAAATTTCTAAACACATTGTCAGTCCTGCCTACTTCATTTATGATGGATTACAAAAACACAGACCTTCAGTAATCTTTTCTCCCTCATCTCCATAACTCTTCCTTTTGCATAAGCAGAGGAAGATACCAGCTCATCAACTTCATGGCAAAATCACAAGCTATTTTTCAACTTCTCAAACAGATAAGTGCATTATCATTTCAGCAGTGGATTTAAGTTATTTCTAGCCTACGCCTAAAAATCTGAACAATCTTGAAGCTTGCAAATGTACTTTAAGGCCCTGTCACATTAGGCGATTTAGAATCGCAGTGATTCTGCCAGAAATTTAAAATTGTGTCAAAGAGAGTGATGCTCACTTAGGAGCCATCATTCTTAATGGCACCCCAGACGCTTTGTGATTTTGCTGTGATAAGGACACAGCAATTGCACCAAATGCACATTAAAAAAAAAAGGTTCTCGAGCATTTTTTTTGGGAAGAAAATATGCATAGGGCAACCCATTTGAGTGAATGACATATAGATACAGGTGTAAATCACACTACATAGAACTGGGAACATGATATCTAAACGGGACCTTAAATATCTACATATTTACTTCCTTGAATTCTGTGACACATTCACTATGCCCTGTGAGTAGGCACAGCTGTGTCACACATTTCACAGAGCCTGCCTTCTACTACAGAGGTGGTGAGAGGAGGAGTTTCAGAAGGTGGAGTCGGCACAGGAATGAACAACTTGCGGGCAGCAAGGTACCATGGGATTTATAGTCCTTGTAAATTTAAGGTAAACAGCAGAGGACAAGCAAGCAGAGAATCCCAGAAGATGTGAAAGGAGATGGCTAGCAGACAGGCAGCACCCATTACATTAGATTTTTCAATTAAGCTTAATTTGTCAAAAATAACTATTGTTTGTATTGCAGTTACAATGCTGATGTTGTAACATGAAAGTGTATGCTGTAACTATAGATCTCATTTACATCAGCCATTCTAAACTTGGTGTCCTCCAGGGGTCTTTTGAGCTTTGGCTGACTGACCTCTCATTTTCATAATCTTTTTAAGCCTGTAATTTCAATCAAAATAATAACTGGTGATCATGCCAGGAAGGTTCCCATGCAGGTCTTTTTTTAATATGGGGTGACAGTGGTCTTCCAGTTGTACTGCTGCGTTGTCGGTCTGTCGCATGCTTCCCTGATAAAACTACAGGTGGATATGTTGCATGGCCACTATCCTCTGGTGTTGCTCTCTTGGGTTCAGCCTTGTGCAGTCGCTACTGAAATTTGTGTATTTAGATTGAAAGTGGCTGCAGGTGATCAACAGCACTGAGATAGCAAAAAAGTATTAGAGAAAAGTAAAAAGCATGAAAAACTAATACCAATTGTTTGGCGCACAGTGCCTTTGCAGACTAAAAATGACTCATGACTTTTACATGTTTTTAAATTTTACCTTGTGCAATATAGCTTAGTTTTCATATAAATTAGAGCTCCATTATTGAGGAATGGGTGTCAGCATTTTCATATCCAGATACTGATGTAGTCAGTTCTGTGAAATGTTATTGCACTCAGTCACTTTGTGGCAATAAATACAGTGCCTGGGTTTTCAAGCCCTAATCCTTAGCATTTCACATTTTCTGGTAATTGAAGACAAATACTGTAGGGAACAGATCTTGCAGCCATGAGAATAGTTGATAAATTCCAGCACTGTTCCCTGCTTAAAGAGAAACTCCATTAAAACCACTTTTCAAGTAGCTGTAATAAATGTCTGTCTGTAAATAGTCCTCTTCTATACAAACATTTTCTGCATCGTCCATCTCCAATGATGTTGAACTGTTTTAGCTCCATTGTGGTATACCTATGGCCTCCAATTCTCTTTCAAAGAGAACAATTCATTATTTTCCCCATTACGTGGGTGGTAAGCCGCTTATTGCACTAACCACAACACAGCATAGAAAAGGGCATTATGAAAATGTGAGGTTTTGTCTGCTTAAAGCTGAACTCCAGACAAAAAGCTAGTAATACAAATGAAAAACTTAAAGAAGCTGTTTTACCTGTCAAAGTATTTGTATGTCTGTCCATCCAGTCCTAAGATTCATGCAGCTCTGCTTTACTGCATGGATCTATGTAGCAGGGGTGGGAATTCCATCTTTTTGCTGCTGTTTCACTTCCATTTACAGGTCCCCCTCCTTTTAAGTGGACAGTGAAAAAAGTAGTATGCTGATGAGCTCACCGCTCTGTCACTCTCCCCCTATCAGCATGCTCCTTTCACTGCAGCACAATTGGCTGGCTTCTTATGATGCTTCTCCTCCTCTTTGAGCTTTGCTATACAGAAACTGTAACAGGCTGATGTCAAGGATACCAAATTTAATTCAGGTAGTTTCACTATTTGCATTTAGTATTGCATTAATGATTACATTGCTGCATTAATTTTTTCCTTTTATAGCTGTCTGGAGTTAATCTTTCAAGTGTAACTATGGCCCCTCATTAAAGCATTTACATGATATGCTGCAGCACTTAATTGTAAGTGCAACTACACTTCGTTTTCCATGAAGCCGGCAATAGATGGATCAAATCTCTGCCAGTTCAGCAGAGATTGGCCGAAATTCAGTCCATCTATGGGCAAGTTGGTTGTACTGAAGTTGATCCATCGCACATCCAACCTGTCGGATTTTTTGCATGCAATCCCTGCCAGTGGCTATAGTTGCTAGCAGTGATCACTGTGTTCTGCCAACCGTCAGAACACAATAGCGCTGTGGGAGGCATTCCCACATCAACACTGACTGTGTTATAGGGGAATTGAGCTATTTACTTTACTTTCCTTCCACCCATGGTGGAAGGTAAGAAAATTTTTGTATAATCTATGGCTTGCCTTAGCTCACTTAGCCACTTTCAACCCAAACTGGCCCTAGTATACATTTGTGCAGGGATGGATACAAATGGCAATCTGTGAAAAGCAGGAGAATTTGTCAGAACTAAGTAACTGAATACAATACATAAGCATTACCAAAGAACCTTTCACAGAGGCCATGTGTCATACAGTGTATAGCAGGTTTTTTTTAAAGTTATTTTAGGTAAATGTGCTCTGAGTAATGTCTCCATGGTAACTTGTAATGGGAACTATCTGGTCACATTAAAATTATCTTTAGCTGCGGGAGCTATATAACTTGGTAAAAGCCCGAAGCGAAGAGCTGAGAAATGCTGCTTGTAGCAGATATGCAGCAAAGACATCAAGTCATTTGGGGGCCAACTGTGTATTTTTTTGTTAGAGACCCTGTTGCCTTAACCACTCCCCATCCAGCTTACATACACTATATTGCCAAAACTATTGGGACGCCTACCTTTACACGCACATGGACTTTAATAGCATCCCAGTCTTAGTCCGTATGGTTCAATATTGAGTTGGCCCGCCCTTTGCAGCTATAACAGCTTCAACTCTTCTGGGAAGGCTGTCCACAAGGTTTAGGAGTGTGTCTATGGGAAGGTTTGACCATTCTTCCAGAAGCGCATTTGGAGGTCAGGCACTGATGTCGGACGAGAAGGCCTGGCTCACAGTCTCCGCTCTAATTCATCCCAAAGGTGTTTTATCAGGTTGTGGTCAGGACTCTGTGCAGGCCAGTCAAGTTCCTCCATCCCAAACTTGCTCATCCATGTCTTTATGGACCTTGCTTTGTGCACTGGTGCGCAGTCATTTTGGAACAGAAAGGGGCCCATCCCCAAACTTTTCCCACAAAGTTGGGAGCATGAAATTGTCAAAATGTCTTGGTATGCTGGGCACCTTAAGAGCTCCCTTCACTGGAACTAAGGGGCCAAGCCCAACCGCTGAAAAACAACCCTGCACTATATAATCCCCCCTCCTCCAAACTTTACACTTGGCACAATGCAGTCAGGCAAGTACCGTTCTCCAAGCAACCGCCAAACTCAGACACGTACATCAGACTGCCAGACAGAGAAACGTAATTCATCGCTTCACTAGAGTCCAGTGGTGGCGTGCTTTACACCACTACATCTGCTGCTTTGTATTGCACTTGGTGATGTAAGGCTTGGATGCAGCTGCTCGGCCATGGAAACCCATTCCATGAAATTTCTCTATGCACTGTTATTGTGCTAATCTGAAGGTCACATTAAGTTTGGAGGTCTTTAGCTATTGACTCTGCAGACAGTTGGTGACTTATGCGCACTGTGCGCTTCAGCATGTGCTGATCCCGCTCTGTCGTTTTACGTGGCTGAGTTGCTGTTGTTCCCAGCTGCTTCCACTTTGTTATAATACCACTAACAGTTGATCGATGAATATTTAGTAGCAAGGAAA